ATTAAAATTAATCAGGCCCAAACTAATCTGAAGTTTTATTGAGTTTCACATGTTTTATAATGCAAAATTTTATTTTCTTAAATATTTTTTGTCGATGTGGGATATATTTATAGTGCAAAACTTTATTCTCTTATGTGTTTTTTATTGATGTGGGATACATTGATTAGAGAAAATTGACAATTTTTAGTGACGAAATATATTTTTTAGTGCTAAATTATTTGGTCATCATTAAATGTGTAAGGTATATGTGACCAATATTAGAATTTTGTCATAATTGTAATGCATTATAGTGATGATTTTTATCGACAAAAGGTTATTTTATATTTATGAATATTTTTCAATAATGAAATATATTTTTTACGATGAATTTTTTTGTTCATAATTAAATATATATGTATTTGTGACTAATTTTTTAAATTTATCATAATTGTGATAAGTTATAGTGATGATTTCAAAATTTATCACAAATTTCTGTCACCAAAAATTATTTTTCTTGTAGTGTTAATCTCTTTACAATAAAATTTACTAACTGTTAATATAAAGAAATCATATTCTTAATATCAAGGGGAGAGGAATACAAAACTAACAAATAACGTAAGATGTATCATTTAAGATTCTCGAATAAGTTGATATGAATCAAAATTCCAAAACTCTGGACAATAATTTCTAAATGCATCCATTGATATAGTAAAAGTAAGTCAATTCCATATTGAAACTTTAAATACTCTAACTTGCATTGATATATATATATATATATATATCTATGGAGAAGATACTAATTAGCAAATAAATTTATTTTATGTACGTTGAAAGCATATTAGAACAATTGATCTCAAGGATAAAAGTCCAAAAAAGAAGAGAAAGTATAAGTATAATGTTAGTTTTATTGAAATTATATAAATGTTCCTAAAGAGTTGTTGAGGAAATAACCTCACAAGAGGTTCAAGTGCTTGAAAACAATTAAAAAAGTTGAAACGATAGACAATAATGATATTTCTATAAATTATGATTCTTCTAAAAGGATGATGGAACCCAAATGAAATTGTTATTGACAAGGGTTTTTATAAATGCAATAATGAAGGATATAATCAATGAAAAGGAGGATCCTGGGCTAAAATCTGTTGAAAAATGTCAACAAAAAAATGATTGACTAATATGGAAGGAGTTTATATATTCAAGTAAAATTAAAACCATGAGAATAACGTAAAGTTTTTAGATTGATGGTCTAAACATATAATAATACAAAGTGAGTATAGCACAAGTATTATTTGTAAGAATATATAATAAATACAAAATAACAAAATTTGTAGCACAAAGATTTATGTAAAATCTTAAATTGGTTTTGCAAAGATATTCTCTTATAGTGGATTTTATTACTATAATCAATTCTAAAGGTTTTTAAAAGATATCAAGTGTATTTTATAATGTTGCAGTATGTAAATACATAGTAATTATATTTATATAAAAGTCTTTATAGAACATAAGAGGACTATTGCTTCATATGTTTGAAGCATATGATGTCTAAAACTCGTACTTGAAGCATAAAATGAAATGATAAAATTCCTAAACCATATAGTTCAAAACTAAGAATAATATTTTTGTGTTGATTGACATAAAAGAATAAATATGATAAAATCATTGTAATGAACATCTTCTAAAAGAAAGTTTAGAAAAATACCATCTTACTTCATATATTTTAAAATTAAAATTTACTATTGTTGTAGAATGTATTAATGATTTTAAATCATTATAACTATGGAAGAGTTTGGATATAATAGCATGTTCTAAATAGTAATTATGTAGTGAAAAATCTCAAAAGAATTACGTTTTGGACTCAACATGTAAATTGAGCACTTACTAAGTTTGATTTTTATCATTAAATCAAACTATATAGGAGTAAAAGATTATATATTCTTCAACATTGATAAAACCTTTTTTTTTAGCTCAATAATGGTGATTTAATCCTTAACATAAAAAATAACAATTTCTTAATAGGTAAATGGGAATTACATTCATAATATAAACTTTTTGGACAACTCACACATAAAGATTTCAACAAAAAAAAAAAATTATTGTATAAGTGTCCATATCCAATTATTTGAATCTATATCATTATAATATTTTTACATTATATAATAAGTAATGAAAAACAATGGAACGTTAAACCTTTATGTAATCTATAGGTCTAAATCCAAAAAAGCAAAGTATTGAGTGCAAAATATAATTTAGCAATCTAAATTGTCACACACCATATAATTCTAACCTCTCTAGTCTTGTTACCTGAAATGATCAACAAAAAAATAATATAAGATAAACTCAATAAGTAT